TAAAGAGTCTCGTGGCACCAGTGCTAATACTTATTGCCTGGGTGATGATTTAAGGCAACCAAAGTAATGAAACACATTTCACTTGGAGTGATGGGGAAGAATAAAGACTCCCTGGTTGAAGACCAGAAGAATTTTCTTCCTTCCTAGTGACTTGAAAGGACTTGTGTTGTGTTATTTTGCTTGTGCTCCAAAGCCAGCAAGACCAGATCCAGTCCTGGTGTGATCCCAGTTGTCCTTACATGGAATACCACTGGGAATCCTCCCAGCCTGCTCTGCCTCCCTCTTTGCTCTAAATATTCATGGATGTTCTCAGCTTTTCACCATCCTGCACAAGTTTTGCCCTGTGGGACGAGGCTCCCTATGGGAGAGTCATTATAAATGTTTATGGGAATTGGGCTGCTTTATTCAGGCAATTAAATGTGGTGTTTAAGCAAGAAGAGGTTTGTTCTTTGCAATTGATTGCATCAGGTTTAAAAAGGTGCCTGGAAAGATGCTGGGAAGCAGCAGCATGCCTGTGGATATCCGACTGGAAAACCCACTGGAGAGGAAAGCCCTGGCTCTCTTCGTGCCCTTCTTGCCCCAAGCTGGTTGCTCTGACATGGAAATAAGTGTCCAAGGCCACGTGTCTCCTGCTTTTTCAGTGATGTGAGTCTGCCCAGCTTGGGGTTCTGTGGATATTTTGGGTTTGATTTTGATCTGTAGAACAAAAGGCCTTTCCTGGTCTGACACAGAACCACTTTTATCCTGTCTGCCTTGGTGCTGAGCTCCATGAGGTGAACAGGAGGTAGGATGAAGTTGTCAGGCCATAACCAGATCCCTGCCTGATTTTTATCCCCTTTCCTGGGTGGGGGGCAGGCTGGGATGCAGCTTTTCTCTGTAACCCTGATGGCTTTCTGATGCTGACAAGAGGAGAACGTCATGTTTGGTTTGTGAATGTTGGGGCTCGAGGCTGCTTGAGGAGCTTGATAAGCAAAGTGATGCATCATCCATCACTTGTGCTGTGTCCATGCCTTGAGCAGATCCTGCTGGGAAGGCAATGGGCTGCTGTAACTCCTGACCTGTGTGATCAGGGAGAACTCTGTGTGTGTGTCTTAAGGCCAGGATTTGGTTACAGGGCAGTGGGCACAGCCCCAAGGCTGCCAGAGCTCCAGGAGGGTTTGGACAACGCTCTCGGGGACAGGGTGGGATTGTTGGGGTGTCTGTGCAGAGCCAGGGGTTGGATGGATGATCCTTGTGGGTCCAACTCAGGATATTCTGTGATTGGAAGTCTCAGCCCTTTGTGGAATGACACTGGTAGCACAGACCATGCTCTGCTGTGGGTGAGCCAAGCTTTGCAGGACCTTCTCGGGTTGAACTGGCACTGCTGCCTGGCCTTCCCTGCCCCAGGGCTGCAGGCTGTGCTCCAGCTCAGGCAGGTCCCAGCCAACCAGGGTTTGTGGGAGCCCTGCCCTGGCTGCTTCTCCAGGCCCTCCTTGGGATTCCACTCTGCTATTTCCCCACCTGTGGTGTGGCAATAAAATCCTTACCTTTGCTGGGAGCGCTGAGGCTCAGTGTTGGTTGTTAATCAAGGGAAGAGGCTCTCAACAAGTGGGCAGTGTTGTCACCCGTTGTCACTGTGGTTTGGTACAAACTCTTGAGCCTTTTGTTGTTGCTTCCCCCAGTGTGAACAGATAAGGTGCTAACAGATAAGGTGATCTCTTATCGGCTGGTTCAGGACCTGGTTTGTGACATTGCTGCACCCCTGGGGGCAGCAGTGACAGGACAAGTTGCCATTCCTCAAGCTGCTCCTGCCCCTCCTGTTCCTGAGGGAATCAGTCTGAACCGGTGTGTTTTCCTTGCTCCTCCCCTGGGGAGACAGCCCAGGTCTAATGGAAGTGCAGGCAAAGAGAATAAAAGACTTCCTGATGGAATCTCTTTGCTCTCCAGGGATTGTATCCCAGAGTAATGCCCAGTGTGTGTATGTAGATGCTGCTCTGCCTTCTCTGGGCTGTCTCATAGCTGGGTGGGCTGTGGGTTACAGCATCCCACAGCCTGTGGATTTGGAAGAGGATGGGCCAGGAAGGATGAAGGGCTGCTGGAGTTGTTCAGTCTGGAAAAAAAAAAGCTTCAGGGAGACTTTAGGACCCCTTCCAGTGCCAAGGGGCTCCAAAAGAGCTGGAGAGGGACTTTGGACAAGGACCTGGAGTGACTTCCCACTGCCAGAGGGCAAGATTAGGTGGGATATTAGGGAAAAATCCTTCCCTGTGAGGGTGGGGAGGCCCTGGCACAGGTTGCCCATAGAACCTGTGGCTGCCCCATCCCTGCAAGTGTCCAAGGTTGAGCTGGACGGGGCTTGGAGCAACCTGGGACAGTGGAAGGTGTCCCTGCCCCTGGAGGGGGTGGAAAAAGATGTCAGGCTGCATTTTCCATGTCAGGCTCCTCAGGACACTTTGCAGTGCTGGTGGAGTGGAGCAGGAGTTCTGTGCTGGCATTTCAAGGCTGAGGAGGAGGAGGTTTGAAACAACACTGGGTTGAGGAAAATTGGGCTGAAGTGAAGATGTTCACTTTGGTCCCCTCTCTAGGTTGGGCACATGAGGACATCTGCTCTAGACCCTTTGGAAGGTGGTGCCTTCTGTTCTGGCACACTGGGATTTTGAGAGGGGGGTCACTTTTTCCCTGGGACTGTCTCCTTGTTATCCCCGCACTGACTTTGGGGTTACTTCACCTTCCCAGCAGGGAGAGGCAACTATTCGAGGTCCAGCTGCTCAGGTAACAGGGTGACATGTGCAGCAGGACCTCGGGCTGCTGTCCCAGCCCAGGGCACTGTCCCTGGAGGTGGGAGGGGGGGTGATTGAGCCTGGCAGCCGGCTTATCCCGTGTCCGCGTTCGGGAAGCGGCGGCATTAGCTGGGGCAGTTGCTTCCCGAAGGAATGAGTCACGTTGCCATCTGTCCATGTGCAACATAACGTGCTGGCTGCCGAGCCAGGAACAGGGCTTGGCACTTTCCTTTGGATCTGTGGCTCTCCCTGCAGCGCTCCGTGTTCGGGCCTGGCTTTGCTCCCCGCCCTGGCGGTTGGGATTTGGCAGTTTTGGCCACTGCAACAGACTCGGGCAGAGTTACAGGAGAAGGGGGGAATTAAATCCACTTATGTGGGGTAGCTGCTCTTGAGCAGAACACGTGCCTTGGTCTGATCCCTGTCCCCAGAAGACAGTCTGAGCACGGGATCACACCGGGTTCCATTTGTATCCAGCTCGTGCAGAGGAGTTGGAGGTGAAACCTCCTTGGGTGTGTGGCTGAGGGGCTGCCAAAGCCTGGGGTATTGTTCTGAGCTGGAGTCCAGTTTTCCCTTTTTTGGGAAGGTTTCTGAGGATAGATGGCTACATATGCTGTTATCCCAGGATTGAAGCTGGCTGGGGATGGGCTCGCCCTGGGTTTAGCAGTGGACGTGGTTTCCTTGAGCAGCCCCTGTGTTTGTGGCAGGGGTGGTGTGAGCTGCTAAGGGGAGTGGGAAGCTGCCTCCCATCACCAGGTTAGTGTGGGACAGGGGGAAGCAGGCAGGGAGCTCTGCTGCTGCCCTGCTTTCATGGACAGAACAGCCAACACACAGGGAAACGTTCTGGGCTGAACCATCACACCAGTTTTGGAGCCCTGACAGCGTCTCCTCTCTGAGTGGGGAGGGAGAACCTGCTGTATCTGTGGGCACCTGCTGCAGGTGTTGCTTTGCTGTGGAGGTGGGATGGACTTGGCACCTCTGGGAGCAGCTGGGGTGGGGATGGATTTGCTCCATGGGAGCCAGAGCCAAAGCACCACAGTGCCCGTTGTGCCCAGACTGCAGGGACCTGCCTGTGCTCAGGGAAAGAGCAGAGCCAGGGAGGAGCATCAGCCCAGAGCCCTCTGGCTGTTGACAGGTTTTGGTTTTGTCTTATGATCTGGAAATGACAGTGAGTGTGGGCTGGGCAGCACCTCATAACCCTTTGGGACAGCCTGGGCTGTGAGAGCTTCTCTGTTAGACCCAAACAGAACCCAGCAGGGGCTGGCACAGGGGGCTTGGGCAGCCAGCCCTTGGTGCCTGGCTGTGTTTGGTACTGTCCTGCCCCTTTGGCCTGGTGCAAATGTCTGGACAGAACATTCCTGCAGTGCTGGAGGAGAGACATGGCTGGATACCTGTGGGGTGGGAGCAGCAGTTGGTGGGAGATCCCTGTGAACTTTAGTTTACAGGTGAGATGCCATCAGGAGGTTGTTTCAGTCCCTGCAGACCAAGGCAGGTGTCTGTGCCCCCTGGGTTTGAGCTCCACTCTGCCTTCCTGCCCACATGGGAGTTCAGCTGGGATTTTTTTTTTTTTAAATAGAATCATGGAATGGTTTGGGTTGGAAGGAACCTTAAAGCCTGTCTTGTTCCAATGGAGGGACAATTTCCACAGGCTAGGTTGCTCCAAGCCCTGCCCAACCTGGCCTGGGACACTTCCAAGGGATCCAGGGGCAGCCACAGCTCCTCTGGGCAACCTGTGCCAGGGCCTCACCTCCCTCACAGGGAACAATTTCTCCCCAGTATCCCATCTATCCCTGCCCTCTGGCACTGGGAAGCCATTCCCTGTGTCCTGTCCCTCCATCCCTTGTCCCCAGTCCCTCTCCAGCTCTCCTGGAGCCCCTTTAGGCCCTGCCAGGGGCTCTCAGCTCTCCCTGGAGCCTTCTCTTCTCCAGGGGAACCCCCCCCAGCTCTCCCAGCCTGGCTCCAGAGCAGAGGGGCTCCAGCCCTGGAGCATCTCCATGGCCTTCTCTGGATATATTCCAGCAGCTCCACATCCTTTTGCTGGGACCCCAGAGCTGGAGGCAGCTCTGCAGGTGGGAAATCACCCGAGCTGAGGGGAAGAGGGGGAACCTGCCAAGAAAAATGCTCTTTCCCTGACTTTGCTGCCATGGGACAGGCTCCATCTCGGAGCCACATGTTGGGACACTGGGGTGTGACAGTGGGGAACAAAACTGCCCTGAGCTGACATGATCTTTGTTATTTCTTCTGCAGGAACGCCAAGGTCGTGTCAAGTAAAAGGCCATTCCTCCCCAGAGACTGCAGCAGAGATTGCATCCCAGTGATCCTTCAGAGAGGCAAAGAGAAGGAGCAAGAGCATCCCAGAGAGAATTAGGACTTTTTTTTTTTTTTTTTTCTTAATTTCATTGACTTCAAAAAAAGACTTTTACAAACTTGCAGTTTAAAAAAAAAAAAAAGCATTGGAGTATCACAAGACATAGGACTTAAAAAAAAAAAAAAAACAAAAACAACAACAAAAAAAATCCCTTCTAGGTAGAGTAGAGGTAAAACCTGTCCCCCTTTCTTTTGGCTTTGGTTGTGATTTCAGAGCATACGCTTTGTTTTTTGTCTTTTTACTATGTTTTGTTTTTTTTTTGGGGGGGGGGGGTTTTCAAGTCCATAAGTGGCATATGCCTTTTTTTTTTTTTTTCCCCTCTCTAATTTTTAAACCCTGCAGCCTCCCTCCCTTCCACCCCCTCACGCCTCCTTCCCCCTGGTTCTGACATTTGCACTTGGAACACCAAGAGTTGTAACATCCACCCGTGGAGAGTGGAGTAATTTTTATTTTATATTTTTCTTTCTCCCTTCTCCCCAGCCTGGAAAAGGAGGAATTCTCCAAGGAAGTTGGGAGTTTTTTGGCCTAAGAAGAATTAAACAGAAATTATCCACGAAGTTGTGTCTTAAAGGTGGTTCATTTTTCTCCAACCCTTTGTTACTCAAAAGTCAAGTACTAGGAGTCCTAAGAAATGTTCTGTTCTTGTGCATTATAAAGATTAAGTCTGGATTAATTTGATTTTTTTTTTTTTTTTTTGAAAACTGAGAACAGTGGTTAAAAAACTCGTTTTGTTTACAGGAAAAATTAATAATTCTGGACAAGGAAAAAAAAAAAGAAAAAAAAAGCACCAAAAAAAAAAAACAAACCAAGGAAGAAATAATTGTAAAAAAAATGTGTAGTGACTTTGTTTCAGTTTCTTGTTAAGCCAACGAGGAATGGGCGTTGCCTTTCTTTTCACCATTAATCACTTCTCAGTAATAAACGTGAAATCCTGTTGAGCATCACTGGTGTCTCCTGGTGTGGTTCAGTGGGTGTCCTTGAGGATATTGAAAATATCCCAGTTATTAAATCACAGCTGGGAAACATCTGGATCCAGCCACCTGCTCGGGCAGAAAATGATCCTGGTGCTCCTGGCATTCCCATTTCCCTGCTCCCACGCAGGATGGGGATGCTCCTGCACCCTGTGTTGCTTGCACTCACTGAAAAATCAGCTCAGTTGTTATTTTTTTATTGTTAATCGTTCCTTTTGAACAGCAAACAAAGAAAGCTCAGTTCCAAAATATTCCAGTGGGTGTCAGGCAAAGACCTGGGCTGGTGTTTTCTGCAGGTGTCAAAGCAGTTCTGTGGCCATTTGCATTTTCCTGGGATATTTTATATTAAATTAAAGGCCAGGTTGGACAGGGCTTGGAGCAACCTGGGCTAGTGGAAGGTGTCCCTGCATGTTGGATTAGGTGGTCTTTAAGGTTCCTTGCAACCCAAAGCAGTCTGTAATTCTATGATGCCACTTGCTTTCTCCAAAAGAACTTTTCTTAATTCTTCAGTACTTTCAGTCTCTCTTTGAGGTGGCCAAACCCCCAAATTCCTCACTGGTGTCCTCGTGTGCTTTCAGAGGGAGGTAAAACCCACGTTGTTGCAAAGCTGGAGGAGGGAAGGACAGAAACTCAACTTGATTAAAAGCCCACATTTTTAAACAATTTGTCTTTTGAGGGAATTTTAGTTGTAAGTAAAAAAATAAAGCTGGAGAAAGGGGTTTTGGGCTGTGCCTGCAGGTGTTTGTGTGCTGGTTTCACTGTTGGTCAGGCAGTTTCTTCCCCTTTTTAGTCTTCAAGTGACAAACCCAAGAGACGTGAGAGGAAGAGGAAGATGGAATTTGAAAACTATGATACTTCAGCTGCAGGTGTGGTGCCTGCAATTATTTTTATTTAAGGAAAAAACAGCTTTATCCACTGGTCATATCCTTGTCCTCCAAGCTGGGACAAGCTGCTGCTTGAATTTCCCCTGCTTCAGTCTGGACCTGGTCCTGTTTTGGTCTAAACTGAAACAAAACCTGGGAATTTTCTAGGTTTGCTTTCAGCAGGGCTGTGTGTGGAAAACTGCAGGATAAGGGGGGAAAAATCCACCTGTAATTGTGACTGAAGACCCCAAAAGCACAGAATGTCATCTCACTGTGAATGGGGCACAGGTAAGAGCAAAAAGGTGTTTATTACTGTGATTTCCTTGGTAAAGAAAAACAGGTAAAAATATTTGGGGGGGGGGGGGGTTCATGGGGAAAGGGAAAGGAAAAGCTGCTTTGCTGCTGTGCTTCCCAAAATTGCATAAATCCCTGGAGTTAATGTAAACCCAGGCTGGGCCTTTGCAGGGGCTCGTGCAGGGGCTGATTTGGGGTTTTCCAAACTTTGCAAACACCCCAAATCCCTGAAAGGGAACAGCTCAGCTGAGCCTTGGAGGCAAGAAACTCCAGGCAGGGGCTGGGGGGGGGGCAGGTTTGGTGTTGTGGCTCAGCTTGGGAAAAGGAAATTGCCAGATCTCCTGACAGAATCATGGAATCCTTTAGGTTAGGAAAGCCCTCTGAGGTCATGAAGTCCAGCCATTAACCCAGCACAGCTGTGTTCACCATTCCTGGGGGATGCAGGATGGTTGGGGGGCACAGGACCCGTGGGAGGATGAGGATGAGGATGCAGCAAATGGGAACAGGGCTCATCCAGCCCGGATGGAGGGATTCTGGCAGCCTTGGGGGACAGCAGGGACACTGAGAGCAGCAAACCCTCAGCGGTGACAGCGTTATCCAGGAGGAATTGCTCTGCAGGATAGAGCTGGATGTGGCTCCGTGCAGGGAAAGCAGCAAAAAGCACCCTCGGAAGGACCAAACAGTTGGGAAAAGGATGTTAATGTGGCCAAGCTGATCCTTGTTCTCCTCCTCTTCCCCCACAAACGAAGGTGATGAGATTTCGCCCCCTCCTTCCATCCAAGACGTCCCGTCTGTGTTCCCCGATCCCACTCCAGCGCCTCTAAAGGCAGCAGCACCCTCTCCTGGAGAGGGATGACCCGGAATGGGGCTCTGTGGGCTGGGGAGGGGGATTTAGGGGCGCCCCGGGCTTGCATCCCTTCAGCCGAGTGCTGCCCTGGGGTCCAGGACGGCCGGGGGGGCCCAGCCCCTAATCCCGGTTTGGGGAGGCTTTGCTGGGACTCAGCCACGGGGATCTGGAGCCTCACTCCTGGTTTTTTGGAGGCTTGCATCCCCACTCCTGTTTCTGGGGAGACGCTGGTGGGGCCCGGCCGGGGGGGCTGGAGCCGTCCCGGGGTGACCCTCGGGCTGCGTTAACGATTGACGGGCTGTCGGGACGCTCCGGGACTCTGCCCGTGTCCCCTGCGGTCACCCCCCCGGGCAGGGGGTCACCCCCCGGGCGGGGTCCACTGCCGTGTCCCCGGACACGCTCTGACACCCGCGGGGGTCCCACTGGGGGGTTCCCCGGGGCTGTGCACCCTGTCCCTGTGTCCCTGTGACGGCCCCTCCTGTGCCCCCCGCGGTGACTCCGCTCCGGGCCGGGCTCTGCCTCCCGCACCCTCCTCCCTCCCGGTGCTCCCAGTGCTCCCAGTGCCTCTCCCAGCACCCGCAGCGTCCAGCTCCCAGTCTGGAGGGTGGGACAGCCCCTCTCTGGAGGGCCATGCGGGGTGCGGGGGTGCTCCCCAGCCCCGCCGAGGCTCTGCCAGGCAGAGCACAGAGGATGACAGTGACAGGTACTGGGGGCAGGGAGGGGGTGGTACCTTGAGCTCCCCCCCCCCCCCGAGGTTTTTGGGGGGCTGCTCTGAGGGCATCAGCACTGGGGACACTGAGACACCCTCACGGGACATGGAGACCCCCCCTGGGGACACTGGGATCCCCTGGTGACACCCGAATCACCCCGGGGACACAGGGACCCTTCTTGATGACACTGGGATCCGTGAAGGGTCACCAGGACCCCCTCTAGAGATATTGTGGCCCACCCTGGGGACAGCAGACCCCCCAGTGACGCTGGGATCCCCCTGGGAACACCAAGACCACCCCTAGGGATAGTGGGACCCACCCTGGGGACACAAAGACTCTCCCTGGGGATACTGGGACCCTCTTGGGACACCAGGACCCACCCATGGGACACCCTTGTGGTTTTGGGGGGCTGCTCTGGGGTGTTGGTGTTGGAGGATGGCAGTGACAGCCTCGAGATGCCCACAGGGACCCATTTGGGGTCAGGGTGGCCATGAGAGGACACAGGCCAGTGGCCAGATGGGCCAGAAGGGGTCCTGGTGTCCCCAGAGGGCGATAATGTCTCATGGGGAGGGTCCCAGTGTCCCCAGGAGCTGGAGGGGACGGGGACAGGGTCAGTGCCTGCTTTTAGGGGGACACACAGGGTGGAGCTGGCTTCAATTTGGGGTGGGCTGGGGGTCCTGACCCCGTGTCCCCCCCCCAGCCACCCACGCTGTCACCGGGAATGCCACGGTCCCGCCGTTCCCGGCGGAGATGGAGACGGCGATTTTCGGTGAGTGGCTCCCGCCGTGCCGGGGGAGAGGGGTCCCAGCAGCCCCGAGCCCCCCCAGCCCCCCTCACCCTCCCTGCCCGTCCCCCCACAGGCATGGGCTGCTTCTGGGGGGCCGAGCAGCTCTTCTGGAACACGCCAGGGGTCTTCTCCACCCAGGTGGGGTTCGCAGGAGGCTTCACCCCCAACCCCACCTACGAAGAGGTTCGCACAGGTAACCGGGGGCTCCCCCTCCCCTGCTGCCACGGGGCCCCCCAGTGTCCCCCACAAGGGGTGACATCCCCATCCAGCACCTCAGGGTGTCCCACAGCCCCTTGCCCTGGCCTGGATCCCATGGGATGCTCTCTGGTGTCTGTTGGACAATGACCCCCCTGTCCCCCACCCCAGCTCCTCAAACCCCCCCAGCCTGGACAGACAGCCCTGGCTTAGCTGGACAGACGTTCTGCAGAGGATTAACTGTCTGCAGGGAATATTATCCCGGCTGCCACGTCCAGCTGGGGATTTATCCCAGTGTGGGATAGCTTTGGGGATCCCACCTCCACCAGGCACCTGGGGAAGGGGGTCCCGGGGCGTGAGAGGATGCTGGTGCCCCTCCCTATCCCAATCCCTGCCTCC